AACCCTCGCACGCGAGCATTCGTTCCCTGAGCCTCTCACCGCAAAGTCCTCTCAGCCCTGCTTCCAACCGCAGCGGTCCAGCGAGCTCTCCCAAAAGAGAATCGCGAACAACATGTGTTATTATAGATATTGAGAATCGCCCTCTTCGGATATCGCGCTCTTGAGCGATGCGCCAACGGCTACGTTCTTCATGCACGTCACGCCTAGGGACTTATTCACCATTATGTTTATTTTGTTTCATCGAGGCGTCCCTCTTATTCTTACTTATTCTGTGCTTGTACTAACGAAGTAACGCCTGTATCGTTAACCAGAATATAATTCAGTGTTCTATGAATAATCCTACTATTCACCGCCCTTCCAGTCCTCTGCGAATCAATAGGTTATGGGCCCAGGCCAAAAACCGTAAAAAGTAGACGGACATACGGTCCACTGCGCGGAAAATATCTCGGAATCAAAAACGACACGAGTTAGAACCGACACGAGTCACACGCAATCATGGCCGGAATGAACACTGTGAGGATCGAGCAACTGAATCGAGAAAAATACGATACGTGGAAGATTCAGATGCAAGCAATCCTGATAAAAAGCGAGGTATGGGGATATGTAAACGGACAAAAACCGAAGCCGGAAATCATCGCTGACAACGCTCAATCACTGCTGGAGGCTAGAAAATGGGAAGCCGAAGACGAGAAGGCGAAGGCCGATATTATCCTGTGCATTAAACCATCTGAATTGAAGCAAATAAAAGGCTGCAACACATCACGGGAATTATGCACGAAACTACAGGCGATCTACCAATCAACCGGACCCGCCAGAAAATCAACATTGATTAAGCAACTCACATACCACCGAATGCACGAAGGAGAAGACGTACGGGAACACATGCTGTCCTTTTTCGACACTGTGGACAAATTAAATGAAATGGATATTCAAATTAACCCGGATCTACTATCGGTAATGTTATTACATAGCCTACCCTCGTCATTTGCTAACTTTCGCTGCGCTATCGAATCTAGAGACGTACTGCCCTCACCGGAAACCCTTCGGATCAAAATAATGGAGGAAAACGATGCAAGAAAGAGCGACGAAAGAGAGAGCAGCTCGACAGCAATGTTCGCCAAGAAATACTTCAGCAAGAAGAAGCCCACCAGAGGAAGAAGCGACAACGGAGGAAAGAACGAGGCAAGTATCTCAAACTCACAAAAGAAAGAACCATTTAAATACAAATGCCATAGATGTCGGAAGCCGGGTCACAAAGCTTCTGATTGCACGGAGAAGATCAAAAATTCAGAGGACGCCAAAACGGCGGAAGACCTCTGTCTTTGCGCAAGCTCCGACGAACAGCCGAAACGTCGAGAAACGGGATCCAAGTCCGAGGAAACATGAAGTCAACGACCATGGTGTATGGACAGCGGCTGCACATCTCACATGTGTAGCGAGAATGGTTACTCCATGGAAATAACCACACGAACCAATGGCAGAATCCACCTCGCAAATAACGCTTTCGCCGAAGTGAAAGGAAAAGGGCCCGTTACGTTCACCACGAAGGACAACGAAAGCAGAAGGAATGTAAAGCTATCTGAAGCACTTTACGTCTCGGACCTGAGAACAAACTTGTTATCAGTCGGCAAGATTTGTGACAAAGGTCTCAGAGTCGTTTTCGAGAAGGAAAAGGCCACCGTAGTTGACCAGAATTGGAACGCAATACTGAAGGCCGACCGCACGAGCAGCGGACTATACTGCTTGGAAACTAAAACTCTCGAAAGTAGTGCTAACGCGGAATGGAACGACGAAAAGGACACCGGACTTTGATCAACTGTAATCTGGCATCGCAAAATGGGTCACTTAAATTTCAAAGAAAATGCACGCAAGAAGGCGCAATAAAAGGGCCGAAGATCGGAAGAGATTTCGATGAATACAACTGCGAGGCATGTGCGATGGGAAAAATGTCAAGGAAACCACTGCCCAAGAAATCCGAGCGACGAACGGAACTGCTTGACATCATCCACAGCGACGTGTGCGGACCCATGCGGACGGAATCAATGGGAAAGTCGCGCTACTTCATCACCTTTATCGACGATTCCTCCAAGTGGTGCGAAGTGAGGTTCCTGAGGCAGAAGAGCAACGCCTTCCAAGCTTTCAAGGAATATAAGGCCCTGGTAGAGAACCTGACCGGAAGGCGAATCAAATGCTTACAGTCCGATAACGGCACTGAGTACGTTAACTCAGCTTTCGATGCATTTTTAAAGGAGAACGGGATTCGCCGAAGACTATCGATCCCATATACACCTGAGTAGAACGGAGTGGCCGAAAGGAAAAACCGGACTTTGGTGGACATGGCGCGCTGTCTCTTGCACGAATCGTCACTGCCGAAATTTATGTGGGCGGAGGCAATCAATACAGCTAATCACATCCGGAATAGGTGCCCCTCTAGTACTCTCGAGGGACGAACTGCGTACGAAAGATGGACCGGACAAATACCAGATGTGTCTACATTCGAGGTGTTTGGAAGTCAAGTCATGGTTATGAATAGGGAGCTGCACGGAGACAAATGGGACGCCAAATCTCGCAAAGGTATCTTTGTAGGTTACTCCGAGGTATCTAAAGGTTTCCGAATTTTTATTCCAGATGAGCTAAAAATAGTAATCAGCAGAGACATCCGGGTGATGGATCGTACCCCTGAAGATGCGCCCCCAATAGCGAAATACAACGAAGACTCCATGAAAGAAACCGAAGGACAGGAAAATGAGCACATCGAATTTCCGATCGAAGTGACTGCGCCGATCGCAAACGAACCGCCTTCCAACCAATCTTCGGACGAGGCAAGCGAAGAATCTCTAACGGAGGCCGAACACGACGATGAGACAGAAACCGTCAGGCGCGGTAGAGGCAGGCCACGCATCGAGCGTACCGGTCGTAGGGGGAGACCAAGAAGACTCTTCCACGATGCTAACTTCGCGGACTTCATAACGGAAATGGCATATTCGAGCGAGGCTTCGCTCGACGAAGCAACTCAAGGTCCAGACGCTGACGAATGGTTGGACGCTATCACGGTCGAACTTAAATCTATCCTCAAGAACGATACATGGACGATTGTGCCCCGTCCTCTGAATGAGAAGATCCTAGGTAGCAGAATCGTCCTACGAAATAAATTCAATCAAGAAGGGATTTTGGAAAGACGAAAAGCGCGAATCGTTGCAAAAGGATTTGCACAGCAGCCCGGAATTGATTACGATGACGCCTTTGCTCCTGTCTCGAGAGTCGAATCCGTCCGACTGATGGTAGCGCTCGCGGCAGAACACAACATGTCGATCGAGCACTTCGACGTAACTACAGCATTTCTCAACGCTAAGCTGGAAGAAAGAGTTTACCTAGAGGCGCCGAAAGGTATCCACGAAGGGCTGAAGAACCTTATCCAGACCGAACCACGTAACAGCGAGATACGCAAGAAAAGATGCTCACGGATCTGAACGACGAGGGCCAGGTCTGTCACCTCAATAAAGCGATATACGGCCTGAGACAAGCGGGAAGATGTTGGCATGACGAACTTAGTAAAGCTCTACTGGCATTCGGTGCCAGGAGGACTCACGCAGATCCTTGTGTCTACCACCTGGGACAAGGCGAGGAAGTCATGCTGATCGTAACTTATGTAGACGACATTCTAGTCGCCTGCAGAAATCAGACCAGGATAGCTGAATTGTACCAGCATCTATCGAAGAAATTTGAGATGAAGAGCTTGGGGCAACTTAAACACTGTCTCGGCATGGAATTCTCATGGAACGACTCGCGAATCACGATTACTCAAAAAGGATACGTTGCGAATCTACTGAAGCGTTTTGGGATGTCGGAGGCGAAACCTGTTTGCACCCCACTCGAACCTAATACGAAGCTACAGAAACCGAATACAACGGTACAAGGGGGAGCAACTTTCCAATATCAAGAACTTATAGGTTCCCTGATGTATCTGGGGATCTGCACCAGACCTGATATTGCTCATGCAATAAACTACCTTAGTCAGTTTAACACTAATCATGACTCGACCCACTGGTTAGCCGCCAAACGTGTCCTGAGATACCTAAAAGGAAGACCTGACCTGGGACTCACCTACGAGAAGACCGGAAAACCTGCACTGGGATACGTTGACGCCGACTGGGCAAACTGCACTACGGACCGAAGATCTTTCACCGGATACGTCTTTACCTTGAGCGGCTGTCCCATTACATGGGCATCGAGAAAACAAAAAACGACAGCTCTATCATCAGTTGAAGCCGAGTACATGGCCCTTACCGAAGCTGCTAAGGAGGCAACACATTTAAAACGATTCCTGCTGGAACTTGGTCATCCGGAGAAGGCTGAGATCAAGATTCTTTGCGATAATATCGGAGCCAAGAAACTGGCCGAAAATCCCGCATTTCATTCTAAAACAAAGCACATCGACGTCCGTCATCACTATGTTCGTGACGCACTTAAAAGCGGGATCATCACCATCGAACATCTTCAAACGGATGAAATGGCAGCGGACGTGCTCACTAAGGGATTACCACGTCCTAAACACGAGAAATGCCTCAGATTATTAGGAATAAAGGCCTAGACTGACTGTAATCTCCAGCCGACGTCGCCTCGTGGGGGAGTATTGAGAATCGCCCTCTTCGGATATCGCGCTCTTGAGCGATGCGCCAACGGCTTCATGCACGTCACGCCTAGGGACTTATTCACCATTATGTTTATTTTGTTTCATCGAGGCGTCCCTCTTATTCTTACTTATTCTGTGCTTGTACTAACGAAGTAACGCCTGTATCGTTAACCAGAATATAATTCAGTGTTCTATGAATAATCCTACTATTCACCGCCCTTCCAGTCCTCTGCGAATCAATACTTTGCAAAATTATTAAGATTTTAAATATAAAACGAATATTGTTCTAGCAACACAATATATTTGTTGAATATATTTATATTTATATTATTAAAATGTATTTTTATAAATATATATACCTTAATTTTTTTAATAATCATAACATTCATAACGTTTCATGATTTTCTGTTAAATTACAAAAATCTTTTGAAATAAATTAATTTGTAACTAACGTTATTAGTATTTCATGTATTATATAACATATATTGCCTTTTTTTATTTATGAGACAATATGTAATATGTAAATTATTAGTAAAAAAATTTAAGGTTTGCAATGAAGAAGCGGAAAAATATAAAAGTATCCACGCGAAAAAATTCGAAATCCTTTTTTAAAGATACTTTCAACGGGCCATACTTGAAGTTCATTAGACAGAGTTCTTGCCTTGCATATTGTATTTAATAAACGAGAATCTATTGGATAATTATCGATACTAACACAATCCATGTACTTATGTCCAAAAATGACTGGTCTTTCATTGGAGAAACAGATATTTTTAATTACAATAATGCTTCCATTAGTGAGATAACAACAATTATTTGGATTTGTAATTGTCAAAACAAAATTAGAAAATTCAATAGCCCTATCTGGCCTTGTATAGCCTTCGAGGAGTTGCTGGGTGATACTTTGTTTCAAAACTGGACGACCTTCAGAGATAGAATGATGTCTGACACTAGTCCTAAGTTGTGATTTCTCATTTATTCTATTCATAATTTGAGTTAAAACATACGATCCTTTCCTGACAAATTTTTTAATAATTTGTAAATGATTTTCAAAATCTATAACACTAAAACCATCTAATGGTCCAAATCGCAAAACATCATCAGGAAGATGGATTAAATTGTGTACATTATAAACTATATGCTGTTCTCCATAAAAACTTTTCATGCAATCTACATAATAAATCAATAAATCTTTTGCATACTGATTATTTTTTATGCACTCATTTGCATCATATAGTATACGTAATGCACAATTTAATACATTGAAATGAAGCATTAATTCATTGGGCACGGTTTCTTGAAATACAACTGGTGCTGTATACAAAATAGCCATTCGCAACTCAGTTGCTTTGAATCTATCTAGCTCTTTAAAAGTACGTGTTTTACGTACAAATTCACATGGTACCCATTTCTTAAAAGAAACGTATTAATCATTTATGTTTTTAATTCTTTTTAAAGCATCTTTATTGCTATTACCATATAGGTTTAATAAAAGCTTAAGATGTTTCTTTCCTACTCCTTCATCAAGCAAATGCATCGGGTCGAGAGGAACTTGATTTGTCAAACTCATTCCGATTCCTTCAAGAGAAGATAATAAATTTTTATACTGATTTGGAACATCTATCCTAAAATTATTATCAGTTCTTAAAGGTGAATCGTTTTCCAAAAAGACTCGTCTATGCTGTACTGTTTTGCCTACTTGTATACATTTACCACATCTACTATTGTGTGGAGGAAAACATAAAATCATATTTCTTGCAACCGTATCTGCAGTAAACAACTTAATAAAAACTTTATACCGCTGATTATTAAAAATAAAACCAGTATTACTTAATTCTAAATACTCCATAATTGTAGGGTCTAAAAATAAATTTACATCTTCTGGTTTATGATTGCCATGAAAAATTCCTACTGCAAACGGATCACAAGCAGCATAAGGATAATTCACGATTTTTACTAGAATTGGCCACACTTGGCTCGGAGAACTTTTCGAAACAGGCAATCCATCAATATTTAGATGTAGAGCGATATCTTTCGGAATTTTCTTTGGATCAAAATGTTTCAACTGATCGAGTAATCCTTTTTTCAAGCCGTAATGTGAATACAAACCTGACCCCACAGAAGAAACTGTAGTTTTTTTTCTTGGAGTATGCAAAAGAGTTCTTGCATCGCTAGGCAG